AGATAAATTCAAAATAGGTAAATAAATGAAATCTGAAACCATTTGTTACTGAGTCTAGCTTGCCTCTTGGCAGGCTGTTAAATTACCGTATATACTCGGGTATAAGCCGAGTTTTTAGCACATTTTCCATGCAGTTTTTGTGGTAAACTTAGGTGCCTCAGCCGATACTCAGGCCGGCTTATACATGAGTATATACGGTATTTCTTTGACTGACTTTTTGTGGAAGCAGATTGTCACGCCTTTCTTGTGAGATGCTCCTGGATCCTTGAACTTCCAACCTTTTGGTTAGCAGCCAAATATGTACCACCAGACACTGCACATAAATGAATACAACATTAGATAAAAGCCCTTTCCTGCTTTTAAGTATATCTATATATATACATCCTCTAAAAAATATCCCACTTTTATTGACATAATTCATATATACAATACAGTGGTTTAAACACATTAATGAGTTGTGCAATCATCTGCACAATCAGTTTTAGAACTCTTTCTTCTTGTATGTGTTATTAGCTTCCTTTCCCCCATCTGCCCCTGCTATAACCCCAAGAACCTGTTAATCCTTATTTTTTCTATAGCTTTACCTTGGATTTCACATAAAGAAAAACAAAAACAAACAAGAGACAAAAAAATTCCCCCCAAAAGCCACACACACACACACACACACACACACACACAAATAGTGACAAAATAAAACAAAAACCTCAATTGAAAAGATAATAGTAAACAATAAAAACGAGAACACATTTAAAATTAGTCCAATAAATAAATAAAATGAGTCTACAGGGAGAACAAATGATAAGGTTTTAAGTTTTAATATAACTACATTTGCACTTCTGTGTACTCTGCCTGGTAGCAAAGATACATTCATTCACATCCCTGGTCATTGGTAAGAGGGGATTAATTAGAGCCTTAATCCATGTGAGAACGCTCCAAATAGATTTTGGGCTTTCTAGTATGTTCCATTGAGATCTGTAGCTTCTCAACTTTAACAATATCAAGCTGTTTGACTACGGTAGTTGTATCGTGGGTTGTGAGGTCCAGTAGCACAGGCCTCCTGTTAAGGGATTTTTTGCATATCCTACATCTCTCCTTATTCATATAAATATGGTAGTTAGCTTTTTTTATTACTTTAAAGAACAAAGTTGGGATTTTGGTCAGAATTTTATTTATTTGTAGGTTGCTTTAGAGGTAGAATTGTAGTATTGGCATTTTCACAACGTCGTCTTTCTGTCCATGATCATGGGATATTCTTCCAGTTGTGTAGGGTTGTTTTTTTGTTGTTGTTGTTTCTTTTAATAGTGTTCTGTAATTTCCCATGGACAGACTTCATTTCTTTTTCCCCCCTCCTTCTCTGGTAAGCTTTATTTGTAGGTATGTCCTTTTTAGTGTGGCTGTTGTAAATAGTATCATTTTCTTGATGCCCTTTTCAGAGCCCTCTTTACTGGTATTCAAGAATCCAGTTGATTTTTTTTCTTGTCAATCATGTATCCTGCTACTTTATTACATCTCTTACTTTCTAACAATCTTTTATGTGGGGTTTTTGGGATTTTCTCCATGTAAAATCATATCTACAAATAATGAGAATTTTACTTATTTGTTCAGTTGTATTCTCTTGATTTTTTTTTTTGTTATTGTTAAGACTTCCAGCATGATGTTAAATAAGAATAGTGGTAGTGGCATTCTTGTCTGCTTCCCATTCTCAAGAAAAATGTTTACAATTTTTTTTCCTGTTGAGTGTGATATGGCTGTTGGTTTTTTGTATATGGCCTTTATTCTGTTGAGGAATTAACCTTCTATTCCTATTCTTTTTCTAAATCATTTTATTAGGGGCTCATACAACTCTTATCACAATCTATACACACATCAACTGTGTAAAGCGCATTTGTACATTCATTG